GACTCAAAATGCCCCATGCCAGTCCATCTCATCTCTCCAATGCCTAATATGTCAATATTTATGCGTTCCATTTCTTTCTTAACAATTTCTAATTTTCCTGCATTCATGGCTTTCACATTCCATGTTCCAATCACTAGGGTCTGCTTTCAACTGTTCCTCCTCCTTTGTATTTCCATACTTGATAGTTCTGCCTAGGTTGCCTTCACAATAGAACAAAAAAAACGTAGACCAAATTTATAGCATTTTTCAACATCACTTGAAAAAGTTGTCCAATATTGAAGATTTAGTTTCTTTAGACTACTCTTTAGTTTGTAGTCTAAAGAAACTAAATCTTCAATATTGGACAACTTTTTCATTTGATGTTGAAAAATGCTATAAATTTGTCTATATTTTTTTGTTCTTTCGTGTGGTTTTTTGTTTCGTTTTTGTTTTGTTGGGGTTTTTTTCCCCTTTTTCCCAAAGTTCAGAGCTGGCGGGGTGGTCGCGAGGTGGGTCGGGGGGAGCAATACGATACTTGAAGATGGGGGTTGTGTGTCAGAGCTGCAGGGGTGTGAAGCTATCAGTTTTTCTTTCTCCTTATTTACAGGTTCAAGAGTATAGAGAGGCTCTTGAAGCAGTCCTTATCAAGGGAAAAAATGGAATTCCACTTCTCCCAGAACTGTACAGTGTTCCTCCAGATAAGGTGAGTTGGTAATGCTGTTATATGGAGCTAAGAGAAGAAGAACAATATTTTTGAAGGACTGACTGTCTTGTTTGGGTCAAATAATTTTTCAATTTCAATTTCTTTAAAAATTTGTCTTTAGTAATTGTATAACAAAAGCATAATTTTGCTAAATTGAAAAAACTTTAAACAGATTTAATTATGATAATATTGCAAAGCCAAGCAAAGACAAGGACAGTCTGAGGTTGCAAATGCTATTTCTATCAGCAGGCAGAACTAGAGTGATACTCAATATTAGTTCGCAGAATTTGAGATTGCTGCTTTGAGGCTTGCATTTGAGATAGTTTTAGTAGATAAAGTCTGTTGTTGTTGTTGTTATGTGCCATCGAGTCACTTGCAACTCATAGCGACGCTCTGTGCAAGACTTCTAAACCCTGCTCTATCCTGTGCCAACCTCACCATCTCGACACACTTACTCTCACCACCCCAATAGCAGAATAGATCCATCTCATCGAGGGTCTTCCTCTCCTGCGCTATCCCTCCCCTCTACCAAACATGATGTGCCTCTCCAAGGACCAGTCCCTCCTTACAAAATGCCCAAAATATGTCAAATGAAGCTTCAGAATCCTTGACTCCAAGGAGCAGCCCAGCTTCACCCGCTCCAGGACAAACCCTATTTGTTTTCCTAGCAGTCCATGGTATATTCAAAACTCTTCTCCAGCACCACAGCTCAAATGTATCAGTTCTCTTTCTATCATCCCTAGTCGCTGTCCAACTCTCCAATGTATAGGACGCAATTGAGAAGACTATAGCCCGGATCAGGCGCACCTTAGTCTCCAGCCTGGCCTTGTTGCTCTTCAGTACTCTGGAGAGGTCCCTGAAAGCTGACTTTCCCGTTGCCATACGTCTTTTCATTTCCTGGCTGCTGGCGCCAAGAGAGTTGACTGTGGAGACAAGCAAACTAAAGCTGTAAACAATCTCAATCTGTTCACCATCCATCCTGATGCTGCCAATTGTTCCAGTGGTGAAAATTTTTGTTTTCTTGCTGTTGAACTTCAATCTGTATTGAAGGCTGCATTCCTTGACCCTCTGAAGCAGGCTCTTCAGGTTCTCCTCAGTTTCAGCAAGCAGGGTTGTGTCATCTGCATAACTCAGGTTGTTGCTGACTCTTCCACCAATCCTGATGCCACATTCTTCCTCGTACAGTTCAACATACCATATGATCTGTTCTGCATACAAGATTCTGATGAAAATTATCCAAAAACAACTGGAGAATATGTCAACAGAGAACTGCCAGATGGGCAGGCTGGAGTTCAAAGAGGTCATGGTACTAGGGATATTAAAGTTATGTTAGATGGATCTTGGCAGAAAGCAGAGAATACCAGAGGAATGTCTATCTGTACAGCATTGACTATGCAAAGGCTTTTGACTGTGTCGATCACAACAAGCTGTGGCTGACTCTGAGAAGAACGGGAATCTCAGAACATCTGATTGTGCTTATGCAAAACCTATACTTGGAGCAAGATGCAGTCGTCAGAACAGAGCAATGTTTGAACTACTACATGGTTCAAAATCAGGAAGGGGATCTGCCAGGGATGTATTTTGTCTACATACATTTTCAATCTGTATGAAGAACAGATGAAGTTTGTTGTTGTTGTTGTTGTTGTTATGTGCCGTCAAGTAGCTTGAGACTCATAGCAACCGTATGTACAACAGCCCTAAACTCTGCTCTGTCCTGTGCCAATCACACTGTCTCCGATACACCCATCCCGATTACCCCAGTCACTGAATCAATCCACCTCATAGAGGGCCTTCCCCTCCTGCACCGTCCCTCCACCCTCCCAAGCGTGATACCCTTTCCAAGGACCGGTCCCTCCTTACAACATGTCCAAAGTATGTTAGATGGAGCCTCAGAATCCTTGCCTCCAAGGAGCCGCCCGGTTTAACCCTTTCCAGGATGAATCTGTTTGTTTTCCTAGCAGTCCAAGATAAAGTTTAGGAAATTAAATATATACTGTACTTCTCAAAAACGTTAGTTAAGAATACCATCGTTCTTCTTAACAATTGGGAAAGAGCAGTATAGAAGTTTGATTAAGCTTCTAGCAGCATCAGTAGCATTACCTAAGAGTATGTTAAAATGCAGATTGCAGTTTCCATCTATTGAATCAGATTCTACCTTTTAAGAAGATCTTCAGGTGATTTGTATGCACACATTGAGAAAGGCTGTGACTTTTTGTTGCATTGGCTATAAAATTACTATTATATAGACTAGGAATCAGAATGCAGATTCTTCAGCCTTTTTATTTTATAGTATCTTAAATCTTCTATTATGCTAGCATTACTCTATTCTCTTAGGTTGATGAAGAATATCAGAATCCTCATAGTGTGGATCGAATTCCCATGGGCAAGTTGCCTCACATGTGGGGTCAGTCTCTATACATCTTAGGAAACTTGATGGCAGAGGTAAAGTGAAACTTTAAAGTTCTCCCACTTTTTTAAGTGCTTTGTTCACCAAATGATTTTATTCGTAGCACATTAAATCTAAAGGATATGTCTTTTGCTTTTGCACTTGACCTTATAAAGGCTCCTCTAAAAGCTCTAAAGCATGACTAACCTTTCAGAAAATTCTTTGTTCCTTGCAACTATGTTCTTTTTGCATCTCAGAGCTTCCTACTTTGTAACATTGGGATCCCTCACTACCTTGCCTGATGATGGAGCCCAACTCTTTCATCTGTTTATGTGTTAGCACTTGAAGGTGTTTTGTTTGTTGTTTTTTTTAATTGTTTTATTGGTTGGTTTTGTTTTTAGTTTTGCTAAGGCTTTAGCTTCTTGATTAGCATTAGTTAACATGAATATTAATGTCTTTCAAAACTGGACACATAATTTGTTTAAAATAACCAACCAGTGACATTCTCATTCAATTAGAATAGATTAAATATCATGAACGAAGGATAAGTGACTTGTCATCTTGAAGGAAACATGAGAGAGTTCATAGTACTTCATAAATGACTGAAAATCAAGTTATGGAAATATAAATTGATGAGAAAAAATAGACTAATAACTTACACAGAGCTCTGGTGAAATAGTCCTTAGTGAATTATGCAAAGACTATACTTCTCTAGTTGTTTGACTCCACCAACAATTTTGTGGGAGAAAGATAGATAGGTAGTCACCTCTCATGCAATTTACAGCTTCAGAAATCTGATGAAGAGTCAGTAATGAGTCTGAATAGACTCAATAACAATGTATGAGAGAGTGAGACTTATAAGGAGCTCCTGTGGTATATAGTACCTTGCATCTTGCAATGCTAACCAAAAGATCTCATATATAAAAGTGGCTCCAAGGGAGAAATATTGACAATCTCCTCCTATTTATATTTATAACCTTGAAAACATGATGGAGGGCTGCTATGAGTCAAAATTGACTAAAGAGTGATGAGTTTTGTGAGTTTGAATGACATACCATTATAATAGACTTTGTACTCTGTTGTCTAAACAGTAATCTTATCTGGAGTTGATTTCTGAAAATTGAACAAATCCTTTTAGTGAACATAGGTATGTTGTTTTTTGTTTTATACCACAGAGTAGAATCCTACCCATAGTTGACCCTACAGTGGATTTTGAGACACACGGGAGGAGATTGCCCATCATTCTCCCACTGAGCAGCTGGTGGCCTCAAACCACGTACCTTAGGGATTGCAGCTCACCTTCTTGCCACTAGGCTACCAGAGCACCTTGAAACCAACATTTCTGAATATGCATACATATTACACGTTGGTGTGTATTTCGCGGTTTTTGTAATTTATATACCTATTTTCAGAAAAAAAGATGTGTTGCAATTCCTAAAAAATCAGCATCAGATAAGATTACCATTTTTGTACAATGAAGGTATTTATTCCCTTAACATACACGATTCTTATTGTGATGTAGAATTATGAACACTGGGATGTGGTTTCTCCTCAAACAGTACATTTTTTTATGTCTTTTTATGATCTTTCTTTTAGGGATTTTTAGCTCCTGGAGAAATTGATCCCTTGAATCGTAGATTTTCTACTGTACCAAAGCCAGATGTTGTGGTTCAAGGTGTGTATTTTATAGAAGAAACTTTATAATAAATGTCTGGAGTTAGAGACAGACATCTGTGGGCCAGGGGATTTACATTTTGTATTGAATTTTGTAAGGCTTCAAAAAGTGTATCATAAAATTGGTTTGGTTTCATGTCTAAATTGCTAATATCTATTAGACACATGGCATTAAGTTTTGTCAAAAGCGAACTTGGGGGAGGATAGGAAAATGTGCAACAATGAATGAATTGAAATCCAAGTTTTCTGTAAATTTTCATTAAAATATCAATTTAAAAAGATTTGGAAAAGAATTTGTCAAAACCTATAAGACTGTGCAGCACAAAGAGTAAATCTTAATGTAAACTATGAGTTTTGTTAATAAAAACATACCAATATTACCAAACAAATTTTAACAAATATGATGAAGAATGCAGGATATTAATGGGGGAAACATCATGTGTGTAGAGGAAGTAAATGTTAGTTCTCCCCAGTATTAGCATAATTTTCCTTAAAACTAAAGCTAGGAATGGGTGATGAAATATTATGAGTATTGTAATGTCTATGGTATATTCAGTACTCTTCTCCAGTTCCACAGTTCAAAGACATCAATTCTCTTCCATCATCCCTAGTCATTGTCCAGCTTTCTAATGCATAGCAAGTAATTGTGAAGACCATGGCCTGGACCAGGCACACTTTGGCTTCCAGACTGATATTGTTGCTCTTCAGTACTCTAGAGAGGTCTCTGACAGCAGACTTTCCCAATGCAATTTGTCTTTTGATTTCCTGGCTGCTGGTACCAAGAGTGTTGATTTTGGAGCCAAGCAAAATGAAAGTGTAAACACTCTCAATCTCTTCACCATCTATCATGATGCTGCCAATCGGCCCAGGGGTGAGTATCTGTTTTCCTGATGTAGAGCTTCAATCCATATTGAAGGCTGCAGTCCTTATCATTCTGCAGTAAGCACTTCCGGTCATCCGCAGTTTCAGAAAGCAATGTTGTGTCATCTGCATAATGTAGATTGTTGAAGAGTCTTCCTCCAATCCTGATGCCACACTCCTCCTCAGAGATGATCTGTTCTGCGTTTAGATTGAAAAGGTATGGAGATAGAACGCATCCTTGGCATACACCCTTCCCAATTTTGAACCATGCAGTGTTTCCTTGCTTGGTTCTGATGACTGCCTCCTGGTCCAAGCATAGGTTTTGCATAAGCACAGTCAAGTGCTCTGGGATTCCCATCGCTTCAATTAATACTTCTTTGGAAGTGCTCCAAAACATAGTTTGTTTTCTTCACAATCAAGTGACATTTTAGGGGCCGAACTCACTCAGTGTTTCTTAAGCTGAAGGAGTTGAAAAACAAATTCAAGATCCGATTATATCTTAGATACCTCGAATTTCAAAAACTCCCAATATCTCACTCCATGGTCATGCTGTTGTTGTTATGTGCTGTTGAGTTGACTGAGACTCATAGTGACCCATAAATAAGAGATCTGAGCCTGGCACCATCCTGTGCCATGCTCACTGTCTTCAATATACTATAGTCATCATGTTAATCATTTTTTTGAGAGTCTTCCACTACTAGACTTACCCTCTGCCTTTCCAAGCATAATATACTTCTCCAACGATTGACCTCTCCCAACAACATGCCCAAAGTATGTGAGACAAATCTTCACCATTGTTGCTTCTAAGGAGCACTTTGATTGCACTTGTCGAAGACATACTTGTTTGTGCTATTGACAGTCCATGGGATATTCAGTACTCTTTTCCAATATCACAGGTCAAAGGCGTTGAGTCTTCTCCTGTCATGTTTAGTCATTGTTCAGATTTCAGATACATAGCAAATAATCTAAAAGATACTTGGATGCTGCAGGCAGGCTGATGAGGGCAGTAGGACTGATTGTAAGTGGTTGCAAATTGAGAACCCATCAGGTTTACATTTTAAAAATGTCCAAGCCAAGTCAGAGGTGTGTAGGAATGGGAGTGGAGTTCTGAGACTTCAGGCAGGCTGAGGGCAGGACTGGCCTGTGTCAGAAGTGGTCATACACCTTGCACTGGTCAGGTTAATCTGTTAAAAATGTCCGAGCAGAGCCAGAGGAAATGGGGAGAATCCTAGAGTACAGGCAGGCTCCAAATTTATTTATATAATTAGTGTTTCATTAAAGTCACATGTAATTTTGCAAATGTATACAAGTTCAGACATAAAACTTACTATTTTGGTGATTTCAACAATCTAAATATTGTGGTGAGTAAAGTTTGTTTTATGCTTTTAAAATAGAAAAGAAAAATTGAGTGAAAGATACCTTAAGTATAACATAAACTAACAAGAAAAAAAGTTCTCTTATTGATTAATAATCATTTTCTTTGTTATTACTGTAAATAGAAACTTTGCCCTTTATTTTCTGGTTACTTTATGTTTCTGGGTGTATATAATGAGAATTTGAAATTACAGTTATCCAGATTTTAAACAGAAACAGCAGCAACCAGGGTTATATATTCATGAAACTCTCAACCTCACTGCCATCAAGTTGGAAATGACTTATAGCTGACCCTGCAGTGAGTTTTAATATACTAAATTGTAGAAAAGAATGCACATCTCCACCTCCCTATGCCCACAGAACTTCTGGTGGAGTGAAATGGTCCTCTTTTGGATTGGTAGAACAATTCCCTACCCACTAACAAAACATCAAGCAAGAAACCACTGAGTCCAGTTTGACTCATGGCAATCCATGTTTGTCAGACTAGAACTGCACTCCATCACACTTCCAAGGTCATGGCTTTCCAGTAGTAGAATGACAAGTCTTCCTTCCAAAGCATCTCTGAGTGAATTAGATTAACCAACCTTTGGGTTAATAGCCAACAGTATTAACTATTTGTGCTATGGGGGACTAATGGAAAGGAAATCCTCAAATAGATTTCCAGAAATGTTAAGATGAACGAATAAACTTTAAAATCTGGGGGGAAAAAACCCCACCTGGCCTGACAATGTGAATGGATTAAGAAAAAAGAGAGAATCAGAATGGATTTTTTAAAAGCTCATTAGTGTGTTGCCTACACTAGACACATAGAAATGAGGAAAAAGATGGACTAAAAATCAAATGGTTGGGGGGAAAAATATACCAAGCAAATTACACCCACAAGAAAGAAGGAGTGGCAACACTAATCTTGATAAAATTGACTGCAAGAAGAAAACCACCATAAAAGATAAGAATTATCTATCAGGAATTATCAATATAATGATTAAAGTCACAATTGATCAAGAAGAGGTAACATTGTTCAGCATCTACACACAAAATGATAGACCTTCAAAATACATAAAACAACAGTAAACAGACTTGAAGAAAGAAATAGACAGCACCACAATAGCGATAGGAAATTTTCACACACCACTCTCACCAAAAGATAGAGCAATTTGAAAGAAAAGTGACAAAGATGCAGAGGATCTAAACTATGCACATACCTCGCTTCTTGGCCTTTTGTCTAAGATCGAGTGTAAACTATACACACAGCCAACCCAATTTGGTGGATGTATTCAGTGTACTGCATCCTACTAAAAGTTAATTTACTTTCTTCTCAAATGCACATGGTACATTCCCCAGAATTGATAATATATTAGAACACAAAGCAAGCCTCAACAAAATAAAAAACATTGAAATAATACAAAGTAGCTTCTCAGATCACAATGCATAAAACTAGCAATTAAAATGAAGAGAGTAAAGTTTAACAAAGCCATCAACAGGGAAGCTAAACAGCTTACATGATTATGTTTTATAAAAGAAATAAAAAGGGACATAAAGTTCCTGGAAACAAATGATAATTAAAATGCAACACAGCAAAATCTCTAGGATACAGCTAAGGTAATCCTCAGGGGATAGTTCATATCAGTAGGAAAACATATTAAAAAGGAAGAAAAAAACTAAAATCAATGCCCTAACTCAACATGTCTATTAATTAGAAAAAGAACAGCAATATTATTCCACAGCATCAAGAAGAAAGGAAATGATGAGAACTAGAGCTGAAATCAATGAGATAGAAAACAGAAGAACAATTAGAACCATCAACAAGGCTAGGAATTGGTTCTTCAAAAGGATCAATAAAATTTACAAACCATTGGCAAACTTAACAAAAATAAAGAAGACACAAATAATTGAAAAATACGAAATGATAGAGGTATCATTACAAGAGAAACAAGATAAAATTAAGTTAATAATATAAGAATATCCCTGATTTCAAATCCTACTACACTGCCGTAGTGGTAAAGACA